GGGGAGGAGAGGGAGGGACAATTTATGCTGTTCTTCCTTGAGCTCAAATTTTGTCCCTACTGAGAACAAAAGAGGAAGATGGGAGGGAGAGGAGATTCCCTATCCTGCTGGTTCCTTGCTGGCTCTTCCATTTCTAGGTGTAGCCATGGATTTCCTCTTCCACTTCACCCAGTATTTACTGAGCACCTGTTCCGTACAGTGCACTGTGTTAATCTGGGGGTACCTGCCCCCAAGATGCTTTAACTACAAGCACAGGTCATTGAGACAGAGAACAGCGTTTCAGGAGGGGCTCTGGAGGGACAGAGTGAGTCTGAGCAGCAACAGGCCACCTCTACTGAAGGGTGCTTTGTAAGAAGAGGGTGTTTGATTTGGGTCTTGAAGGATGGGGAGGAGTTTGACAGACAGAGAGGAGAAGAGAGTCTTGCAGGCAAAGTGACAGGTGAGCAAAGACCAGAGGCAAGATGGGGCTCAGAAGTCTACTGTGACCACAGCCCAGAGTGCAGGTGGCCTGAGAACGGTGGGCTGGGAGGCAAATGGATGGCCAGGAGGTTGAGCACCTGGAATGCCGGACTAGGGGGTTTGAAACACAGCCAGGAGGCAAAGGGAGGCTTTGTAAAGATTTTCAACTAAGGAGTAACTTGATTGCAGCTCTGCTTTTAATCTGAAGTATTTATTAACTACCCACCACCTATGTGAAAGGCATCATCTCAGGCATTTGAGACCCAAAGGTGAATGAGACATGTTCCCTGCCCTTGAGGAGCACAGTTCAGCAGTGAGAGCAAGCGGTGAAGAAAGGATTTTGATGTATTATAGTAAGACTCAAAAATGGTTATCTTCCACAAGTTATGGGAATCCCTGGGTGGTGCAAATGTTTACTGTGCTCAGCTGCTAACCAAAAGGCTGAAGGTTTGAATCCACCCAGAGGTGACTTGGAAGAAAAGCCTGGCAATCTATTTCCCAAAAAATCAACCATTGAAAACTCTGTGGAGCACAGTTCTACTCCGACACGCATGGGGGCGCCATGAGTTGACTTCAACTTGCCGGTAATTGGTTTTATACATATATACAAACGAAACCAAACCGGTTGCTGTTGAGTTGATTCCGACAGAGTAGAAGTGCCCCATAGGGTTTCCAAGGAGCGGCTGGTGGATTCGAACTGCTGACCTTTTGGTTAGCAGCCGTAGATCTTCATCACTGTGCCACCAGGGCCCCATTTATAGAAATACGTATCTATATATAAACACTGACAACCGGACTGGTTTCAAAAGTTATGGGAACACAAAAGAGTGATTAAATTTGCTTGAGAGATGCAGGGGAAAGATTCACACAGGAAGTGACATTTGGACTGAGTATTGAAGGAGCCTTGGTGGTGCAACAGTTAAGCACTCCACTGCTAAAAGAAAAATTGGCAGTTCAAACTCATCTAGCGGCTCCATAGGAGAAAGACCTGGCAATCTGCTCCTGTAAAGATCTCAGCCTAGAAAACCCTATGGGACAGTTCTACTCTGTCCTACAGGGTCACTATGAGTTGTAATCGACTCAACGGCAACGAGTTTGGTTTGGTTTCTACAAAGAACCAGAAAACTGTGGGAGAGGGCTGTGGGCTAGGGGATTCAGAGAACATTCACAAGGTGATATTTTGACCTAAAATTTGAAAGGTGTGTGGTTCAACAGGCACAGCAGAAGGAGAAGGGAATGGTATGTGGAAGGCCTCAGAGGCATGAACGTGTGCCCTTTGTTTCAGGAGTAATGACTTCTCTATTGTCCCAAGATAGCGGACATTGGTGGTCCAGTGGTAAATTCTTGCCTTCCACGCGGGAGAGCTGGGTTCTATTCGGACCAGTGTACCGCGTGCACAGCCACCACCCATCTGTCAGCGGAGGCTTGCTTGTTGCTAGGATGCTGAACAGGTTTCCGCAGAGCTTCCAGACTAAGATGGACTAGGAAGAAAGTCTTGGTGATCAACTTCTGAAAATCAGCCATTGACAGCCCTATGGATCACAATGTTCTGATCCTCAACTGCTCCATTCCATTGACTCAATGGCAGGTAATAACAACTGTCCCAGGACAATAGGATGGGGTTGCAGTTTGTATAGTTAGGCTAAGAAGAGATTGTACCCAGCCTTGAATGCCAGACAAAGGAAATTGGGCTTTATCTTGCATGTGATTGGGGCACCATCTCTAAGGAACTTACAGATGTGGACACATTGGTATTTAGAAACATAAGGATAGATCTGAGGAGGACAGGCCTGGATTCAGAGGGAGATCCCCTAAGAAACTATTGCAACAACCCCAGGCAGAGATCACAAGGAACTGAAATGAGGAAGTTGGACTGAGGATGGGGAAGAGGGAACAGCAGCAAGAGGCAATTAGGAGGCCAAATCAAAGAAACCTCACCAAGGGGGAGGCCAGAATCCAGGACGGAGGCAAGGTTTCTAGCTGAGGTGAGGGTGGCCTCGGGCCAGCCTGGGATTGAATTCCAGCCCCTCATCTTATTGGCTGGGCCACCCTGGGCAAGTCTCTCAATAAGCCCAAGCTTCAGGCTCCATTTCTGAAAGGTAGTAGGACGACAGCCCCTATCTCAAAGTTCTGTGAGGACTGAACGGAGTAATCCGTGTTCAGCACCGAGCACTGTGCTAGCAGCTGGAAAGTTCTCCCAAAACCCGTCGCCCTTGAGTCAATTCTGGTTCATAGCCACCCTGCAGGACAGAGTAGAACTGCCCCATAGGGTTTTCAAGGCTGTAATCTTTACTGCCCCCCTGTGTCTGTCAGTTTGTCGTACTGTGGGGGCTTGTGTGTTGCTAAGATACGGGAAGCTATGCCGCTAGTATTTAAATACCAGCAGGGTCACACATGCTAGACAGGTTTCAGCTGAGCTTCCAGACTAAGACAGACTAGGAAGAAGGACCTGAGGGTCTAATTCTGTCTTGGTCATCTAGTGCTGCTATAAGAGAGATACCACAAGTGGATGGCTTTAAGAAAGAGAAATTTATTTCCTCACAGTAAAGTAAGCTAAAAGTCCAAATTCAGGGCATCAGCTCCAGGGGAAGGCTTTCTCTCTCTGTTGGCCTTCCCATCAATCTTCCCCCGGACTAGGAGCTTCTCTGCATGGGAACCCGTGTTCAAAGGATGTGCTCTACTCCTGGCACTGCCTTCTTGGAGGTTTGAGGTCCCCTACTCTCTGCTTGCTTCCATTTTCTTTTATCTCTCTCTTATAAGATAAAGGTGGTGCAGGTCACACCCCAGGGAAACTCCCTTTACATTGGATCAGGGATGTGACTTTAGTAAGGGTGTTATAATCCCACCCTAATCGTCTTTAACATAAAATTACAATCACAAAACGGAGTACACCCACACGATATGGGAATCATGGCCCAGCCAAATTGATACACACATTTTTTGGGGAACAGAATTCAATCCATGACAACTTCTGAAAAAAATCAGCCAGTGAAAACCTTATGAATAGCAGCAGAACATTGTCTTATACGGTGCCGGAAGATGGGCCCCTCAGGTTGGAAGACACTCAAAAGGCGACTGGGGAAGAGTTGACTCCTCAAAGTAGAGTTGACCTTAATGACAGGGATGGAATCAAGCTTTCAGGACCTTCATTTTCTGATTGGCACTACTCAAAATGAAAAGAAACATACATTAATAATCAGAACACGGAATGTACCAAGTATGAAACTAGGAAAATCAGAAATTGTCAAAAATGAAGTGGAACACGTAAACATCAGTATTCTAGGAGTTAGTGAGTGAAATGGACTGGTATTGGCCATTCTGAATCGGACAGTCATATGGTCTACTATGCCAGGAATGACAAATTGAAGACGAATGATGTTGCATACATTGTCAAAAAGAACATTTCAAGATCTATCTTGACTCCTGAGGCTCACCGTTCAGCCGGGGATTAGATAGCCCATAAAACAAAACGGGACTAATGAGGCACAGCAGTCCAGGGACAAGGACTAGAAGGCAGGATAGGACAGGAAAGCTGGTAATAGGGAACCCAAGGTTGAGAAAGGACAGTGTTGACATGTCATGGGGTTGTTAACCATTGTCATAGGGCAATATGTGTACTAACTGTTTAATGAGAAACTGTTTTGTTCTGTAAACCTTCATC